GTACAGTTTTCTAATCCCAGAGATACACAAGATCAAGAGTCAACATCGCAGCCCATAGTGGGAATTATGAAAGCTATCACCAGTGCGGTCTCTACTCTGGCAAGTGTATTAATTCTTTGAAGGACTGTGGTTGGCGAAGTGAGGATTAGTAGAAATCTTTGTTCCTTCATTTTGAATGTGCCGCATTCCTAAAACTGCACCCAAAATAAAGACTCATGCAGCCACGTTTGCTTAGGTGATTTCAACGAAATATTCTTTAGATAAACCCCATGTACTGTTCTCTGTATTTCATTTTTGGCTTTCTCATTTTGGTTTTGACTAACTGACACTGTCTATGCACACAAAGGATAGTATGGGGCCACTTGCCTGAGGCAGCAAGTGAATCTGATCAGACTGGGTGATTTCATCAGAAAGAGCTTCAGACACAAGGCCTTTCTGCACTGCCTGGGAGTTTGTGTTCTCACCTTTGTTGTGAAGGCAGCTTAGAGGCTCTTCTCTGGGGCATGCACTGTGTTACTATGGTCTCTGTGTGAGCCCATGGATGCTATTTAATCAGAAATAGCACGTACATTTCTGCTTATGGGCTTTCAGCATGGACTGTGACTCTTTCTTTTCCAATCTGCTCAAGGTGTTTTTAAATTCTTAACTACCTCTTCAAATCAGTGTAGTCCCTGGAGAGAACTCTTCAACAGATTTCATGGGAAAGTTTTCCCTTACTAACTAATATTAAAAGCAACACATATTGTCAAAAGTAGTATTTAATGAGCTCTGCATTTCATTATAAATTAAAATATGCAAATCAGTGGAAAGAAAATCAAAGGTGAAGGCTCTTAACATTGTAATGTGGCCCTTGCATACTTTAAAAGACAATTGTCTCTTAAAGTATGCAGTCATGGAGGTAATATAGATAAACTTACAATAAGAACAGGCAAATACTCATTGTTACAGCCCAGCTTCAGGATGTGACTCTGAAGTGTTAATGCTATATTAAGTGTCTTGGTTACTTTAGGCGGAAACACACACATGTGCTCACACATCTTTATTAAAATCTAGGAATTGTACACGGAGATAAGACAGCAGAATTAAAACTAAAGGTCACACAATTTGATCATTTCCATATTTAAGGTTATGCTAAGTATTCGGCAAATAACAGGAGGCTTTAGCTCAGGGTCTGCACTTTCCTGTCATTTAACATGAAACCCAGGAAAGATTGCTTCTGAAGTCATTATCTTCATCTGTTGAGAGCATAGATCAGTACTTAGTGATGGAAGCACTGTGGAGAATTGCAGTGGGCTCCTGTGTGTGATCTGATATATGTCTCTTGATATCCATCAAACTCAGAAGATACAAAAGAGGAAAGACAGAACTTTGTGTGTGTGTGTGTGTGTGTGTGTGTGTGTAAATACAGAGTTTCTGCTCTTGCTTCTGAAATGTCAAGAAAGCATTTTTAGCTGAAAATTAGAATCCTATTTTAATTAAAGTATGATTTTGAGAAGTTTCACAAAACATACAATGTCATGTTCCTATTGTGTCACCACAATGGCTGTGTTACTATGTGTTGAACAGCAACAAAAACAAAAACAATAGACATAAAAATGTGGACAACAAAAATCCCTGAGAAAAATCATAGAACTACAGGCAACTAAGGAATACTAAGAGTGGCATAAACAGTCTTTGCCACGGAAAAGCAACTGGTAATCCGATACCAAGTGTTCCTCCTGGAAATCACACATACAAATGCCATAACACAAGTTGAGTAGATAGTTACTTATATATTTAGGAGTGTGTGTGTATTTATAAATGCATATTTGTATGTAAAACAATTAGTGAAAAAAAGGTTACGAACTTCACCAAAAACAACAACAAAAAAAAAGAAGAAGGGGTGAATGACTGGTCTTAGAGGGAGAAAATGGAAGGGGAAATTAGATAATTCTAGTATAATCACAGAAAAGTTAAAGAAATGATTTTTAAAGTTTCATAAGAAATAAAAATATAATGATATTTGATTTCTATCTGGCACATACTTGAATTCACCAAATCTTCAGCAACTATATCCTGGTTGGTTAATATTGTTAGGCACATTTTAGCTAATTCATGTAAAATTATGCTCTGAATATATAATATTTTGTGAATGTGTACCAGAAAATACACCGTGAACCAATTGTACTTGAAGAAAGAGGCTGACTGTAGTTTGCAGAGACAATGTGTTTGGAGAGACACCTTTGGGGATACAGTTCAGAGGACAGAAAGATTATGAGGGTATTCCAAGATGAAGGAGAGCATTGCCTCTGACAGGTGTGGCACTGCACAACTGTAGCAACAATACTTAAGGGATACCAACAGGAAGAGAGACATTTAAGGTCACCCTTAGCTACATAGTGAGGTTCATGTTGACCTGGTCTACATGAACCCTGTTTGATGCAATTAATAAGCCCTTTAAAAACTTCACACACACACATGCACACACACACACACACACACACACACACACACACAAAAACAAACCCTTGAAAGTTTTCTTGTAGTAAGTATTGAACAGGCAACATTGGTTGAATGAAATTCTGAGTTTGGAACATTTGGCATAACCAAATAATTTGGGGAAAGGAAAACACAGCTTGAAAGTCAACTCTTCCATCAGTAAACACACACATTGCTCACCTTTAAGATAGATTACTAGTCTGTATGTGCCATGCTATTTTGAAAGCTTCGCAGTTTGAAATTTCATTTGTACACCTAAACTGCAAACCTCAACATACAGCACCCTACCCAAGGTCAGTGATCCATGCTGGTAATGACAAAATAACTGTCAGCTGAAGTTCCTGATATTACACAGCATCACAGAACACTCTCCAATTAAAATAAGACAATCCCCGGAAGAGTGGAAACCTAACAGAAAGTTTTTTTCTTCTTTGGAATGTGTATTGCTTTGGTCTTTTCATGATACAGCATGAACAGGAGCAAAGGACAATGTTGGGAACAGTCTACTTTGGAGACTGAGGGATGTTCTCAGACAACTGTTCAATGAGCTGAGACATCTCACAAGAGGGATTTAAACTGTGGTAGATCCAGAAAACAGAGGGCTCATTAGTTTCACCAAGAGAAGATTCTCAGAGCTGTAACTTAGAAAAGTTATGAGAGAAGGTGACATTCAGAGCCAGTATTATTTCAGGCTTACAAATAGTAATAATGAAAACATTGGACATTCATTTTTTCCTGTAAGAGAAGGAGTTTGGGTCAACATTGAAATCACATGGAATCACAATTTTCAGGTAAAAGACAGAGCCGGGAGACTGCCTGCAGAGCAGGAACATTGTGTGAAGGAAAGAGTGAAGGCGGCATAGCAACCTAGCACCAGCCAAGATGCAGTGTACCCCTGAGAAGAGGGAAGGAGTAGAAGCAGGCTCTCCTGAAGCCTCCTGGTAGAAGCAGCCCTACTGATGCTTTTCAGACCCCTTCCTTCTGAACTGCATGATAATAAGTTCCTGCTCTTTTGAAACAGTCATTGTGTTGCTATTGTCTCTAAAGGCAAGAAGAACCTTCTACAGGAATGAATATATAGTAAACAACAGAAGACAAGAACAGAAGAGACTTGGAAAACAAAAATGAATTAAATGTAGTCCACAACACATAGAGAATTTTTTTCTTTTTTTGGTTTTAAGAGACAGGGTTTCTCTGTATTGTTTTGGAGGCTGTCGTTCCAGCCCGGCCTCGAACTCACAGAGATCCACCTGCCTCTCTCTCCTGAGTGCTGGGATTAAAGGCGTGTGCCACCACCGCTAGGCTCACATAGAGAATTTTTGAAGGTCCAGATGTGAAAAGGAGAGATACATTCTTGAAACATCAGATTAAGTGTTTGAAAGTTGGAGAGTTGAACAATGTAATTATTTTGTTTCTAAGTTTATTCTTCCCACTCAAATATTTTGGAATCTACCAGTGTGCTACAAACAGCACTGTTCCCTTCCCTTGTATCTAAGAGAATAAATAGCTTTCACCACATCACATTTGACTTTAGTGCCTTTGTAAGTTTATGGGACCTCAAACAGGATGTGCTGGGGAATTTTCTGCCCACATTCTTGTGTAAAGCCATGAAATCTGGTGAAGTAACCATACTGGAGTCATATGGTAAATGGTTAGTACATATGTATCTGCTTAAATTTCTAAGAAGCTACAAGTCACAAGATATTATGCACAATTGAATGTGTCTATCCCATGAAGCTATGTTTGAGAAAATATAGTTAAGATGCAGATGTACATACACACACACACACACACACACAGAGATAGAGAGAGAGAGAAAGAGAAACAGAGAGAGACAAAGACAGAGAGAGATAGAGAAAGAGAGAGAGAGAGAGAGGAGAGAGAGAGAGAGACTATTCTATAACAACATGAGGTCAAGTGAATCTATGTGAACTAAGCAGTGTCTGAATGTGAAGTGATTCAGAATTCTTTTTAAAGCACCCCGATTCATTTAACAGAAAATAGAACAATCCCAATGTAGGTTACTGTCTTTGCTTATACATGGAAGAAACTGAAGGTTATTCTGCATATTTTCAAGTCTAAGAAATTACAGAAGATGAATTTGCTTCCCTTTGAAAACAAATCTTAAAAATGTTTCCTGATAAGACTTTTTAATTTAAGATATCAGAATGAATTATCCTTTTGCTTTTTAGTGTGAAAATTGCTTGTCCCAGTGTTCAAGAAGAGTAGTAGATCCTGACTCACAGATTTTTAAAAACATCAGAAAGGAGAAAAACCCAGGAGGGATCGATGCAGTCAGAGGTCCTCACCACCATGAGAATGGAAACAAAAACATCATGCTTAGGCAATACCTGTTTCCTTCAGTGTAGATTACGTTAGACAAAGACCAAAGACACATGTGGTGATTTAGGCGGCCAGAGACCAGAAACGTGTCCTAAAACAGAACTTCCATTTCTGTGAACACTAGCAGGAAACGAAAAGCAAGAGAAAGCAACAAGGGCCAGCAGCATGAGCAGACAAACCTTTCCTTCTTTGTCAGTGACTTTAAGGTGCTCTCGATTTCTCAGCAAACCAGTCCAATAGTGGGTCACAGTTGAGAATGTTCTCAAATGAATGTTGCTATGTTGATGTGGGAGCTTTTCAGGTAACCATGGCAACAACAAGCTTCTGCCTAAAGCGTCTTCATTTGGGAAAGGGCAAGGAAAATAGCATGTGACCTGAGGGAGACTATTTTGAAGCTGAAAAGTCAAGGAGGGAGCAGCAGCCACTGCGATCTGTCTTTTTCACACCACATGTCACGACTGGAGTGGCCATGGATGGCTCCTACACTTTCTCCTTGTCTCTGTCATTTACAAGTGCTCTCAAACTCAGACTCGAGATTTTTTCCTTTTCTTTTTCACTTTTCTCATTGCTAGAAATTAAACTAAATGGCTTTATTTCTCTCTTCCCTCCATCCGCTCCCATGCTTCCCTTCCCCTGCCCTGACTCAGTTTTAAAATCAAACTGTGGGAGTTGACTTCAATCCCCTGGACGTCGAAATTGTAGCCTCAGGGCCAGACCCCAGTGTCAATGTTCAAATTGAGTTGAAACTCCAATTGCTGTTTCTTCAGACGCCTCACATTTAAATGCCTTTATTCTTCAGGAATACACCATATTCCAGTTTCCCCTATGATACACAGAGGAGTCCTTGTGTCTGAGGGACTGAAGCATTTGCAAGTTACAGCAGCAGTTTAATCCTGGTGTGGGGCTCAGCTCCTTTGTAAACCCTTATCCCCATATCTCTTTGTCAGACCCATCTCTCCATAGGACTTGATCACCTACCTCCTCTCTGATGCTGTAACCCAGCACCCCTCTCCTCCTAAACAATGATATCTGAATCCATTTGCTGCATATAGACTATGCTCTTGGGATTATGTTCTGGAGGCTTTGTCTACCAAGGGTATTGTGGATAAAGTTGTCATTGGTTGGAAGTTATTCAGGCTGGGAGTCTGGTGAGTGACTGTCTGAAGAACTCAGCTCTCCTTTGCCTCTTCCAATCAGAACAGTAGAATTCTGGGATACTTTCATTCTAACCCAGCCAAAAATTCTCTGTAAATACTGTGTATAGCTCATTGATAGGACATTTGCCCACCATACATCTGGCCCGAGTATCCATGTCAAATCTGCCAATGTAGTTTTGTGTCTTCAGTTATTTACTCCCTACTGCTGGCACTGAAGGAAGAGGCGATGTAACTCCTCATTCATTGCCTACTGAATCTCTTCTGAGTATTGCATGAATCCAAGACATATATATGATCAGCGGTCTGAAGACAGGAAGAGTTCTAGATAGGTAGTTTCCTCATTCATATTATCTGGATGATTACAACCTAATACAACATCCTCACAGAGGGTTGTTACTTGAAATCAGTAGAGGAAGAGGCCAAATGAAAGACACATAAACTTAGGAGTCAGCTTTAGGATTTGTGCTCAACACAGTAGTGGACACTGTTTTGGGCTTCCGTCTCCACTGTCTTCTCCTTTTCCAAGTAAGCAATTCCTCCTTTAGGGCTCGCAGATATGGCTTCTGGGCTAAGTTATTGCCTTAAATTAAATTAAACCATATGTAACTCATTAAAATATTTCCCCTCCATAACAGACTCTTTCGTCTATAATTTAATCTAAAGTAAAACATTTCTAAAGGTTGATGGTAACCAGAGGAAGATACCTAAGTTGCTACTTTTCTCAGAGCGCAATAAATTCTGAGGGATTATCAGAATCACCTATTGAGGGAAAAGTTAGGATCATCTATGAAATTATATCTCTCAGTTATCTCTGAGTATGTCTCCATAAAGTGATACCTGTTACCCCTCTGTCTCTTTCCTTTACACTGAATATTCTCCCTTTTTATGCCATGGCCCTTTCATGTCCATGTGTGGTTTCTATCATAGAAACACTACTCCAAACTCTTTGAGTAGCAACGTCAACAACATATATCATCCTTAATGAGTTGAATCCTGTTGCTGTCTTCATCAAATATGAAACATATGAAGAGACACATATTTTTAAGCTTATGAAAGACTGTTAAAAGATACAATGCCTGTGCTTTTTGTAGATTCAACAAATTCTAGAGATTCTCTACAGACATTTTTGAAAGAATAATTTTATAGTCATTATCCCTTTCTATTACTTTACTGCTCTTTTATTTAGATTTTGTGCCATGAAAACATTATTTAAACCTTACTTGTCTAATGTACTGATTTTTAAACATTATAATTTTCAATTTGACATTCCCAGTGGTCCCATTTCTTACACTGAAAAATGCATTAATCCCCTCATCAATATATATGCATATATATTTTTGTCAGAAAAGAAATAAAATATATATACTATTCACACATTAGAGAATACATTGTAAGTAGAAGACAGAAAGAAAGAGAAAAAGTAAGTGTAAATATGGAAAAAGAAAATGAGAAGTCTACAAAATAAGTAGAATTGGAAATGAGGGACTTTTAGAATATACAAAGAAAGACGAGGGATTTTTAAGTTAAAGGGAATAGATGGAAGAAGAGCAGAAAATGTGTAGCAAAGGAAAAAGTCAGCAAACAATAAGTGGATTGATCATGAGAAAAAAAGAGAGAAATAATTAGGCAAGGGACTGACAGCACATCACATATGAAAACAGGAAAGGAGCTCCTTGTTGATGATAGGTGACATCCATGGAGCAGGAAGCTCTTCTTTCTATACAATCAACCACATTTTTTCCCAAATTCTGCCCAAACTATTATATTTCAAGGATTGTTCTTATTAATGTTTTCTTCATTTCTGCAGGAGGCATAAAAATTACAGATGAGTGTGCGAACATAAGCTGTGCAGTTAGTGAGGCAGGGATGATAATTAGACCATGGTGTACTATGCAGTAAACAGAGCTATTATGAGTGAGAGAGTTCTTCATAGAGTGTTTAAAAAGAGGATTGAAGGACTTTAATTTCCTGGGCTAGCTTAAATGCTCAGCTGATTTCCGCCCTGAGAAATCAAAGGAAGTTGGAGTTAACCACCTAGGGCCTTGGGAATCAAGTTAAATGCACTCACAAACATTACAGATATATACTTTATTCCATATTAATTATCTTTCTTTAATGATCCCTTTCCTACCCATAACATCATGTTTTTCATCTAAATCTAAACAATTTATAATAAATAAACCTTCATGTGTTTGAAATCACATTTTTACCTTGCCTTTAGTGTTTATTAATAGTGATGGTTTGGAGTCTTTAGGATGAGTAGAAATGGCCTTTAAGTGCTGCTCTGATGTTGGGCCTTGCTAGGTGTGTTTTGATCCATCCAAACCAATATTGTGTGACTCACACAACTCTTTACCATTATACACTTCTGCACGTGAGGAGAGCAGTAAACAGAATTAATAACACATAAGGACATAAGGACAAGGGAAGGGTAATGAGGGAATTGGCTTACACAAAACAAAGGTTAAGGAGCTGAATAATGGGCCAACTGCAGAAGGGTGATCAGGAGGACAGCCACATGGGTTGTCAGTTCAAGTCTGGTAACATCTTTGTCAATGAGGCAGAAGGTAGAAATTCTTATTTCAGGTATATCTAAGGCAATAAATACTGAAGTTCCGTTAGTAAACATAACGTAGACCAAATGTTGGAGATGCTGGAGGCCATGGTTGGTGTCTCAGTTTCCTACAGGAGAGTGAAAATTCTCTTCATCCTTGTCTTTTGTTCTTCCTTTGTCCTCAGCATTTGTTTGGCATCCACTCATCACAGATGAGTGTTTTAGTGACTGTTACATTGCTGTGACTAAAATTCTAGAAAGATACCATGTATAGGAGAAGGTAGGTTTATTTTGGCTTACTGTTTTAAAAGGCTCAGGGAAGCAAGACATGAGAAGCCAAATCATTGATTACCCTGACCTGGAACAGGGACATCCTTTCTGTGCTGTGAACATGGCAGAGACTACAGGAATCAAAGCAGGACAGGGAGCAGAAGGCACCACAGGAATCAAAATCTGTCACCTCCGAAGTATCCCACTTTTGGTGTACCTCAAACAATCAGAGACCCAAATCTTCTAAGGGCTACAGCCACCCCAAACAACTGTACTGGTTTGGGAACAAGAGGTCAGAAAATGAGTCTGTGATGGAGATTTCAAACTCAAACAATAACTGAGGCCAGAGCTGCCTTATTTACTTATCAGGTTCAATTACCAATCATTCCTAGAAACATTCTCAGAGCCAAAATTATGCTCCAAATACAGTTAGGTACTCTTAGTCCAGTTAAGTCTATACTTGCCCCAACCATCAGAGCAGAAGATCCAGTACAATTATAAGTACATTTGGAATCATTTGCTCAAAATTCTGTCCTATTTATAAAATTTTACACAATTGCATTCTTGCTTTTGTCCTCCAAACCTTAGTTACAGCAAAACATGTGTAACACTTTTTAGCTTTACAATCTAGCTATGCTTTTTCAAGTGTATTGCAAGATAGGATATCTCTTATTTGTTGTTAAATACTACCACATTATTTTATACAGGGTAGTTAGAAGAGTTCTTCCCTGAAGAACCTTAGTCATCTGAGGTTTTCACTTAATGCTCTTAGTCTCAAACTCTGATCCTGGAGGGCATTGCTTGATCACTGAACAGGCTGGTCGCAACTGTATGGAGAGTCCATAATACATAAACATAAACAAATAAATATTGAAAAGTAACAAGATTATAATAGCTAATATAACATATTATAAACTTGTAGTGGAATATTTGTAACACAGGCAAGAAGGGAGGAGAAATGGCCTCATAACAAAACTTGCACTTTAACTAGTGTGTGGAAATGGAGAGACCAAGCTCAAAGTGACTTTTTCAATAGATAAATTAGTACATTTGTTCTCCAATGGAGGTCTTTGAAGCATGATGTGTATTTACAATATGTATTCAACATGACTCTGCTTTGGTTCATTTTTCCAACACTGGACTCCATTCTTGAACTAAGAAGAGAAGGAAAACAGGCTTTTGCCTCTGTGTTGCTGATAATTGAACAGGAACGATGGAAATGGACTTAATATATTATCAAGTTCTTAGAACACAGATAGAATTATAACATAAAGAAGAACAATT